AACAATCCTTAACCCAATGCTGACGGGTATTTCATGTGCCATACAGCCACTGGAGGGAAAGAGTAGAAGCACTGTTAACTTATAATTTCCCCACTGTCTAAGATTCTGGCAGCAACCTACTCAGTTTTCTTGGGAGTAAGACTAGAAAGTGACTTCATGCTTACATTTATGGGGTTGTAACTGCTTGGTGACCACAGGCAGGGCCAAAGGATGAGTCAAATACTTGATAGTTTTTCATTGATTAATATTTGTTCAACACAGTTATCTACTTTCAGGATGTTTCTTTTGCAAGATTCAATGATATTGGAAATTTCAGTGCTGTGTATCACCCCATTTATGCTTCTATAGTTATGAGTTATGTATGTTACTTAGCAACAACAGTGAAGGTCCATGAAGTTTGTACAGTTGATTTAGATTTAGATTTTTCTGTCCACTGCATTTTTTTTTTCTTTTTTTCTTTCTTTCTTTTGTGAATTTTGTTGCTTACACACAAAAAATATATTATTAACCCGTATCCGACGGGTGGCATGTATGTACATGCCATGGCTGTTGTGGACTGAAACACGGATGGCATTGTATTATGCCTATTCCCGCGCCACTGTCTCGTTGGACGGAGTTTGTTTTTCTCCGATAGTAGCGGCTTCATTTATATGGTAAAGTTTTTAGGCAATGGCACCTATAATGAAGGTAAACCTTCAAAATTTTAATATTTTTATAAATGATAGCAAAATAAAAGCTTGTAGGTGCTAAATGTCGCTTGCAGACTACCGATCAAGCCGGGCACAAACAGGGGAAACTGCCAATGCGCTCCAACAATCCCGTTCTTACGTCCACTTGCCAAACATTTTTACCTGTTGGCACTGGGTTAACTGAAGTTTAGGAGGTTCTAGTACAATATGTGAACTTTCTCTGCAACAACAGATTCCGCTGAAGTTGAAGAAACAATTGGACAATAGCAAGAACATCACCCCAGCAGCACCTGGACCGACAGACACCAGTGCAAGTGAGAGTCAGGCAACTTTCCCTTCAAATTGGAATTCTAATTCCAGTAAGTTATATCAGGAATTTCTTTTTCTTTTCATCTTTCATGCTTGAATTAGGAATATTTTATTAATTCTACACAGATGGGCAAAATATTTCCTGCTCCACATGGGGACTGTAGGCAGCACATAGAACTTTTCACCTGGAGACTTGGTTTGAGCACTAGGGTCAGCCCACTAGTTTCAGTTTGCATTGGCAGATGGATTATGGAAAATCGTTACTACTGTTTTCACACTTCTCAAACATGTTTATGTTTGGAGACTTTTAGTAGCCAAATGATATGTCTTATGAAGGATGTTATTCTCTTACATTGTTGTATGTACTCCATCTTAGTCTTCATGAGAGAACAGAAACACTGCAATTTTTTTTTTTTTAAATTTTGGACAAAAAACAAAAAAAAAAAAGAATATAAGGCTGGTCATCCAAACAAAAAACAATGCTGTTTCGTGCACATGGACAATGCTTTTTGGCAGAAGATCAATGATTTTATGAATTTTGTTAGATGCAGATAGCTTTTATGCTATTAGTATGGTTACTGAAGATATTATTGTTGATATAAGGATTATTATAATGTTATTAGAATACTATTAATGATAAAAAGGGAAAAAGGAATCCTACCAAAATTCATGGCAATTGGTAAACAGGTGAGATAGGTGGAGCTAATAGTTGACTTCATGGGGGTAAGCACTTTACCTGTACCAGTGATCCTGAATATGTGAACATTATTAATTAATCCAACAATTTTCATGTTACTTATACTTGCAAATGTATATTAGCTTATGGTAAACCATTTATATAGGTTTATATTGTTAACACAATGAATTTCAATAGATTTGAGATGTGAAAGAAAACAATTGTTAAAAAACCATGAACTTTTACTTACATATCCAGCTGTGGATGCTATCATTCTAGCGACCCTCAGAAATATCCTCGCAACTCTCATTAGAGTTGTGACCACAGGGTTTGGAACTACTAGGGTAAGATATATGTATGATTTTTGGGGCATTATTATACATGTATATTTTTTATTCCATATAGATAGTGCTGCTGTTACAACATCACAGTTAGGAGAAGCGGCACCAGCCAAAAGTGCCGTACCATCTAAATCACGGCAGAACCATATCGTATATAGCACCAAAGTATGTGAATCACTTGGAGCATCAATGAAGATATTAACTCCCATGTAAGTCGACATCTAAGTAAATTTCGTCTCATTGTTATTTTTCTGATTTTTTTATCATTAGTGTCTGCTTTTGAAAAAGAATGGGCTAATAGACATGTCTTATCATTTTGATTTATACTCTTGTTATCTGACAGGTTGTCTGGGGATATCTGCATGAGAACTTTTCATTGCACCAATTTTTGTCCTCTCGGTGGTGGCACAGTGCCTAGTCTGCAGTGCATTAAGTGCCTCTGTCTTTTTCACCCTGAGTGTACCTATATGCCACCAGCCACTGCAACTATTATACAGACAGGAGGTGCCAAGTTCCTTTGTCCAGTAAGTTGAAGGGAAATTATTAATTTTGTGTTTTAAAGTTTTGATGAACCTTTGATCATGCAAAATGCACTTTATTGAATATGCATAAGTATTTGATGATTTTTTTTTTTTTTTTTTTTTGATATGTAAGAATTTACCTACTTGCTGTTGTTCAAAAAAAGAAAGGGAAAAAAATGATTTTTAATAGTGATAATGATCATAGTAATAATAATGATGGTAATGATGATAACGATAATAATAGTAATAGTAATAATGATAATGATAAAGATGATAGTGATAATGATAATGATGATATGGATGAAAATATTAATCTTGATAAAAATGATGATAGTGATGATGATAATGATGATGTTATTTTTTTCTGTATTGTTACTATGGTGGTGATGATGATGATTACAGTTATTATTATCCCCTTGGATTCAGTGCTTCACATGGTCCAAAATATGGGCATTAGGATTATGTGAGTGGCTGTTCTGACAGTTGTGCAGCTTGTAGGTCAGGAACACGTGAACACTCATGTGCAGTGACAAGACTATGCCTCCCCTTTGCCATGTTATTTTGAGCTTTTTTGCTGTTTTCTAATTTCCATATTTTTCATTTGATTTGCTTTATCCAGATCGTAATAGACTGTTTTTCTTGCTTAGACTTCATATCATCTCTCTAGGTAGTCCATGATTCAGTGGAAGAAAAATAAAAATAAGTAACATTTTGTTATTTGTCAAATTTGCTTTTCTGTAATATTCAATTTTCTGGAATACCTATGCTGCTGCTCATGACAGACAGGAATAAGATGCTAAACTTAAAAATGTTATCCTCTCTGGAGCCAGTACTCGTCAATTCATGGCTCACAGATGCTACATTCCATATTCGTTTATCTATGGGAATAATGCAAAAGCCACTTTCTAAACATCAAATGAATCTAATTACCCTCCAAGAGGTTTCTGCACTTGTGGCGTGTCTTTTTCTAGCCAGATTTTCACATGATGGCAAGTTCACGTGATCTGTCGCTCTAGCCAAATTATTTCCTGATGTGATAGTCACATCATCCAGATCGAAGGGGTCAATACCACTGCTATTGGTATCATCCAATACTATCTAATAAATGTAATGCACTTATCCTTCCATTTATTTCTCTTCCATAGAATTGCTATAGAGAGAATAAGGAAAATGTAGGTGCCAACCAGTGGACACCTCCCAAACCATATGAACCTCTAGCATATGACCCTCCTTGGGAGTCTGAGGAAGAGGACGACAACAAGCCAGACCAAGAAATCATTGCAAACAATTATATAAGAGTGAGCATAAAGGAACATCATCAGTCTGTGCTCCCATCCCACCTGGCAGGTGTGAGTCGCAGTCAACATTCTGATGCACTTGGGTTAGTATATTGATCTATTTGGTGGATATGACCTAATAATGGTTGGAAAAATTTTCAGTAAACTTTTGCTAGGATGGAGGATCATCAGTGCACACAACTCCAAACATTGGCAAAATGAAACACATTGAAATGTCTGAAGGAGAGACCATTCTCATGGCATATATAAATAATTTTTCCCTTTGATAACAATCCATAAAAGAGAGACCGAAATGTCAGTGAGTAAGTGATGATGTATGCTTCTCACAGTATGCTATTGAAAAGTGTAGGAAATTCCTAGGAATCAAGGTGGAGTCAAATTTTTGGCAACAGTATAATAACACTGGCAGCATGGTGACTGTGACAGGCCTAGGAAAGTGTCACAGATGAAGATTTGCGACACGTTACAGTGTCATGAAGCAATGGCTATAGTTTAACTTTATATGGAAATAATTGTTTGATAAACAGCATATATGAATGGTATATCTGAAGTATCCTACTCTTCCTCCAAGCCTATATTTATTTGGTACTCTTTAGTTTTGAAAACAAGCATGAGATATCTCAGTATATGCAAGCAGGAGACTCCTTTATAGTTGATATTTTTAGAGAAGTGTTTCGACTTCACAAACTTTCAACCTCAATTGCTTTGTGGCTCATTAATTGACTTATCCAGGTAGATGAATTTTAAAGCATGTGCTTTTCTCCTGAAATTGCAGACAAACAACATCAGCTGCTGCATATTCAACAGGATCAACACAGCCTCCTGTTTTCACCACAGACAGTCAAGGTGAGAATGTATTTTAAAGAAAAGAAAAAGAAACGTTACTATATATAGTTGGAAACAAGGTATTGAGCCAGTGTCACAGCTCCCTTATATGACTTCCGGATGCAATGGATGAAAGAAATTCTAAAGCAGTGCCAGATTGGACAATAGACAGTACATATTTATATGTACTCGAGGCATCAGTGGGTTAAGGGTTAAAGGATGTGGGTCACCAGACTAAGGAAACTTATGATTTAGTTGTTAGACAGAGAACTGTCAAAAAGTAGGGAAATTGTAACTACAGAGGGAAAGCAGTGGCTTACATCCATAAAAAAAAGACTAAGGTTGGCAAACATTTTAGAATAGTACACCATACAAGTCAGTGGCACTACTTCAGTATTTCCAGTTTTAGTTTATATATTATTTCAACTGATCTATCTTTCACTTTACATGAGTATAAACCCCTTGGATCCAGATGATGTGACCATCATGTCTTCTAAAAAAATTGCCTGAGGGCTGGGGTGACAGAAACATGCCATCATGAGAATTTTGCCTGAAAGGCTAGGGTGAAGACTTGGTATATCTATGAGGCTATCAGTTATTGTTGTAGAATATGTTTACTATGATATGGTGTCAGGTTCAGAATATCAGGAAAAAGAGGACAAGAATTTGTATATATAATTATATTTTTTATATTTATCTACTGGTATTGCCCAAGAAATCAAAACAACTCCCCCTTTAACCACCAGGACTGCAAGGAACTCTAACAGTGAATGCTAGTGGAATGATTGGAGGACTGCCACCCAACCTCCCAAATGGCCAGCTAGTGCAGATACAGTCGCCAGGCTCGGTGCCAACACGTTTCCTTCTTGTCCGGGCAAATACTAATGAGATGCAGCCAGTTCAGATGCCTCCACTACAAATGGGGATGCCAAGAGGCATCATTCTGCCCCAGAATATGATTGGGGGGCAACCAATGCCAGTTATGCTCCCATCCAACCAGTCTAGGTACCCAGGGCCTCACATGGTTCAGCAGTCAGGCATGAGGGCAACAGAGGAGTATGAAAATGTCAAGGTAAGGAGCTAAGATGACTCTTATTTAAATTTATTTGTTGGTGATCCAGTTTTGCTTCATTTTTCCTTGATTTTAGTGAGAGGCCTTCTGGTCTTTGTGATCAAGGTTATTCATTATGTTACAAAATCCTTTGAAGTTTATCTTAAGCACTTTCTAGGAGTTATCAGTAGGGTACTCATATATTAGTATTTATTTGGCATAAACCTTAGTTGTTAGAATGATCCAGACTATGTGGCTCCTGCTGTAACTCAAACTATAACTACTGTCTTCATTATAGAAGGTATGAAAATTAGAAATGGAGAACATTATATAAATGCAGTTAAAGTGTCAACAAAAATGTGGGGATAGATAAAATCAGCAGTAGACACTGTAGCTTATCAATATCCAGAAAAAATATTTGGTTCAATAAGCTATTTGAGAAGACTGAAAAGAAAAACATGTCTGAATGTAAATAAACTGTATAAATGGTTGCCAGATGTTCATATGGTCTTTGGTTTTCCGTTACTCATACATTCCCCACTTTCAGGCAGTGGAAGCTCCGAAGAAGCAAGAATTTTTGCGAGAATTGAGCCAGAGCTACCGATTGCTCTTACATGTATTCAAATACTTGTCTGTAAAGGACCTCCTTGTTGCCTCATGCGTTTGCGTCATGTGGAGAGACTTGGCTTACAGCTCATCCTTGGTAAGTGAACTGTTTTTAGTATTTGGTGTGTAACAGTGCACAGAATATGATATAGATTCATGGTTATTGAGAGAATTGTTAATAAACCTAAGGATGATAAATTGTGGAGTTTTGTGCACTCACAGGACTGAAAATTTATATTTATTTTGATCTACTACTAAACACAATTTTTTTTTCAGTTCAGATAATTCTTATTTTCATTTTTATGTGATAGGGATAATTTAAAACACTTCTTTTTGATAACTTGTAATTTTATATATTTGTGTGTTTGTGTGTATGTTTGTGTGTATGTGCGTGCGTGCGTGCATGCGTGCGTGCGTGCGTGCGTGCGTGCGTGCGTGCGTGCGTGCGTGCGTGCGTGCGTGCGTGCGTGCGTGTGTGGTGTGTGTGTGTGTGTGTGTGTGTGTGTGTGTGTGTGTGTGTGTGTGTGTGTGTGTGTGTGTGTGTGTGTGTGTGTGTGTGTGTGTGTGTGTGTGCATATGTACATGCATACACGCATGCATGTATGTAGTGAAAATGACATTCTATTGTGTTTGAAAGGTAACCATGATAACATGTTGATTATTGTAGCAATATGTTAATTACCCAGAGTTTATTCTGTGCTCATAGGAATTCTTTTAGGAAAAACTGAAAATCTTAAAGTTCTGAAGAATGCCTGTTTTCTTCTTTTCAGTGGGGAACAGTACGCCTACGAAATGTGTGTGTAAGAGACTGGGCTCAGCTTGCTCGATTCATGGAAAGGCGGAATGTACGCAACATAGACTTGAGAAAAATGATCTTCAGACATCCTGTTCCAGAGAGATTAGAGGTGTGGAGGACTATGTTATGTCATCAATTATCATTCATTGTATAAGATAGCTTATGGTCTGGTTTAAAAGCTGTGTATATTTTTCCTTGTGGTTGGGTAACCAAAGATTTAAACCTTTGTAATATCTGATTCCAGCACACATTACACCGTTCAGAAGTATCAAAGAGCCCTTCAAAGGATGTGACCTCAGTGGAGCCTACTTCTGCCCGTTCATCTTACATCCCTGAAACGAGTAGTTCCAGAAATGGATCCCCAGTTTCTAGACAGTCAGAAGGCTTTAGAATATCACCTCAGAAAGATAAATTGATAAAAGATCAGGTCAAGGGACTGACTTTGGATGATGATAGCTCAGTTAAGAAGTTAGAAAACCCAGTTAATACAAAGCTAGAAAAGAGAGATGCCGTTGGAGAAGTGCAGCCAGAAGTCAAGAAACAAAAATTACAAAAGAAAACAGATGCAGCCTGTGAAACCAGTGATACCACATCTACATCAGAGGAGGCTATGGAGATCACAGAAGAAGAGGATTCTAGAGATGATAAGGAAACCTGTAAAAAGGATAGAATTGAAGCAGATTCTGATGGACATGCAAAGAGAACAAGTGCTGCTTCATTAGATGCAGACAGTGACAGAAGACCAAGTCAGGAAAATGAATGTATAGAAGATAATGATACAAATACAAGTAAAATTAAAGATATACACCCCAGAACAGAAGGAGGTAAGGAATAAATCTTTTCAACTTCATAGCCAAGAACTTAAAACATATTGTATTTCTCTCCCATCGCTGGTCTCACAAGTCTTGGTAAATGTGATGCAGCTTTAAGAAGTTTGATAGACTTAGACTTTGCTTTTTGTTAGAGTGAGTTCCTGATAAATATGGTGCACTGTATTATATTATGACCAACCTGTATTGTAATTTTAACCAGGTATTAAGAAAATGTTATAACATTTCATGGGGACAATGATATGCCTTCTCCACCTATTCCTAACTTTTCTCCGTCTGTATGGTCCCTTCATCTGTAGGCTGTAGAGATGAACTGCCCAAGATGAGTTACACACATTATGTTTTATTCCAGAGGTAATGAAAAATGCTTGATTCTCCCTAGAACAGTGAAGGCTGATGTGATATTTTACTTATTTAGTAAATGAGTTAATAATTAGCTCACTCATTACTTTTGACTTTTACAGGGCTCCTTTTCTGTCCCTCACTTATGCATGGTATCTATAGATAACATGGGCAAAAAATAGGTTCATCAGAACATTATTAAATCACTGCATTTCAGGTAGCCTGATTAGAAATGAAGGATCCAGGAATGTCTATGCCCCAGATTTATATTGTTTCACTTGTGATTGATTTGCAAGAAAAAGAAAAATGGTTCAAATTGTTATTGATTTCAAGCAAACAGAATGTGCATGTTTCTGTCCTGTTGGCAATGTATAATATTTTTGACATATATAAATCCACAATTACTAATTATTTGATTATTTGACAGGCTGCAGAAGAATAGAAAAGGATATTTGGGATGACATCTGTGGAGCAATGGGCAGCATACATTGCCTAAGGGGAGTTATTCTCCCCACCTGCAGGGCCGAAGTATTGCAGCTGTTGCTAACACGATGTAAACACCTGATTTCTGTCACAGCCACAGAGCTAAGAGAGCCATCTGGAATTTCAAAGTAAGGCTTAAAGATTAGTGTTCTTTACACTGTACGCTCAGTCTATCAGGATCGAAAACTTGTATATTTGTTGTTATGTACAATAATAGTACATTATTTGTATTTCTTATTCTTGCAATCTATTTCCCTTTTTTATGTCCAGATTTGACCCAGCATATCTTATGGAAGTGCCACATCTAGAGGAGCTCAGACTGGGTTCTACACAAAACTTTTTGCTTACTTCAAATTTCAACTTTATTAAACTCCAAAAGTTAAAGGTTTTGGTAAGTATTTTATGGGTTTAATGGTATTAGTTTTTCTGTGCTTGTCTTTTTATTTGGAAGTAAATCCATGCTGTATGTTATTCATTCTGTAAGTTTATGCATTGCTTTTATCATTATGGGAGATTTTTTTCCCTGTATGAATTGTCCTTCTCTAATCATTCATTCACATTCATAGTCATGGTAACCTTTCCCTCTCTTTGTGAAAATACATAAATTTTCTTGAAAAAGGTATGAATGTGAATGAAAACCTTTTTTAAAAATATTCCATTTTTAGCATAGTGTAAAGGTATTATTGTAAAATAGTTACCAATTTTGCATCATGCCATAAAAGCATATTTTTTTCCTGTGTATCCTATACTTGAACACCTATTTCACTCAAGCACCATAACTACCATTCACACAGTTTTGAATCATATACCAGTACTTCGCAGGGCTTAATGTAAATGCAAGAGTTAAAACAATAAGTCCTGAGTGCTTCATCAGTTTAGAGATATGTGGATGGGCAAGAAAATAATCATATTAGTACATAAGTGGTGTGAAGAAACATTGAACTTTGAACTAATGAACTTTAACTGTATTTCAAAGGTAATGAGAGGATTTTCCGGCTCCAACTGGCCATACCTTGGAACCAATTTGACACATCTCCAAGTAGGTCCCGTTAGCAATTTCAGCAACCTGACATGGAACAACATAGGAAGCATGACTAGTAAGTCCAGGTGCAGTTCTGTAAGCAGTCATTGATGTGATATAATATTTAGATGTATAGGGATTTCTGAAATGGAATTAGTGACATTTAACCTAACGTAGAGTATTTGCTGTAGTCTAAGGAAACTCTTCATTTGCAGAAGGGAGTTCAGAGTCATGTATCAGAATATTTGTGTATGTATATTGTATTTTAAGTAAAACAGAAGATTGTTTTCTTGGATTAAAATTTTTCATTCAGTGTGTCCCATAAGGACACCCAGTTTTTGTGTTCTGAAGTGATGGATCAAGTAGGAAATGCATGCACACACACACATGCACACACACACACACACACACACACACACACACACACACACACACACACACACACACACACACACACACACACACACACACACACACACACGCACACACACACACACGCACACACGCACACACGCACACACGCACACACACGCACACACGCACACACGCACACACGCACACGCACACACACACACACACGCACACACACGCACACACACGCACACACACGCACACACACACACACACCACACACACCACACAACACACACACAACACACACACACACACACACACACACACACACACACACACACACACACACACACACACACACACACACACACAGAGAATGAAGGTAGATATGGAAATTATATATATTTGTCATATCCACTCAAACATAAATTATTTACATCCTGAAAATAGATTTGGAAGCTTTGTGGTTGGAGGATGGAGGATCCCTGAACGACATTGCCATCTTTGAAGCCCTGAGTCGTCTAAGCAACCTGCGGCGATTGTGTCTCTTCAATTTTGCTGTGGGCCCCAAGCTTGGACAGGCATTAAAGAAACTCACCAAGTTGGAGAGAGTGTTTGTGCTGCCAGTGTCTTCACAGCAGGTATTAACAAGACTATTGTAGCCATTTCAAAAAGTTTGAATATGTGTCTTTAATATTCAGTCATACAATCCCAGTTTTCAAAGTTACAGAGGATGGTTAGCAACCGTGAATGTTAATTGCTACCTATTTCAGTATGATCACAAGAGTTTCCCAAAGATTTTTAGCAAGAATGAAGATTTTGCTTTGTCAATTATTAGACTGTCATTGTTATTGTAATAATTATTGCAAAATTCTTTTCCTATAGAAAGCTAGAACAAATTTGAAACACTTATTATTTTGATAATTTCTAAGTGCTCAAATACTCTATGTGCAGGCAAATATTGGTGTGCAGAATGGGAATATGCTGGCAGTGACTGAGACGATGCGCCATGTAGATGAGCTTGTGTGGGCAGTGCGGTCACAAGACATCCAACTTTTCAGCCAAGTAGAACATATTCATATGTGTCCATCCAAAACAAAGGTTTGTTGTTATCCTTTTTTTTTTTTTTTTTTTTTTTTTGGGGGGGGGGTATTTTTTATGTTGATTTAAACATGTTTGCATTGTCAGGGATGTGACTTTTCAGTGTTTCTTCATGTATTTGAATGATACTGTTCTTCTTTGTGCTAGGCTTTTTCTGTGTCTTTGAGATTTATATCCTTCAACCATCAAATTCCTAACTTCATTGTATGGTTTGTTGCTATCTCTTACCCCAATGTCACATCTGCTAGATTTGCAATGTTCTCCATATGTTAGTGATGTAAGTGAGAATGAAATTTATTTTTCTTCATTGCATTTGTAAGTATATCCCTTATCCCCTTTGTATTCATTGTGACTTTTTCAACCTTTTTCTCATGTTTGTGTATATGTATGTGTGTAATTTAATCTATCTATCTGTATATATGTATGTATACAAGTATGTATGTATATATAATATATATATATATATATATTATATATTATTATATATATATATATAATATTTATATATATATATATATATATATAATATATATTATATATATATATATATATATATTATATATATATATATTATATATATATATATGTATATATATATATATATATATATATATATATATATATATATATATATATATATATATATATATATATTATATATATATATATATATATATATACATATATATATATTATATATATATATATATATATATATATATATGTATATATATATATTATATATATATATATATATATATATATATATATATATATATATATATATATATATATATATATATATATATATATATATATATATATTATATATATATGTGTGTGTGTGTGTGTGTGTGTGTGTGTGTGTGTGTGTGTGTTGTGTGTGTGTGTGTGTGTGTGTGTGTGTGTGTGTGTGTATGTGTGTGCATGTGTGTGTGTGTATGTAGTATATGCATATATATATGTGTGTGTGTGTGTGTGTGTGTATAATGATAATAATGATGATGGTTATGATAATAATAATAATAGTAATAATAATTATAAAAATAATAATAATAATAATGATAATAAGGATAAGGATGATAATAATAATGATAAACATCATCTTCTTTGTCTTTGCTTTCATCGTCATTATTATTATCTTTATCATTTTGAATTATATATTTTTTAATCATTTATGATTATTATTATTATCATTGCCATTTTATGCAGTTCCTTTTTGTATATTAAGTTCCAACTGGTGACTTTTGTTTCAGG